AACTTTTGTTATTGATATCATGCATTAAGATAGAGCAATTTTTAAAATAGATTAAAGGTAAAGGCAGAACATTGGTAGAGATAAAAAGTGGAACAGCGTGAACATTAAACTTAGAAAAACTCATCAAGCAGACTACCCAGGTGAGTTTGAAGAGGGAGTATTTTGTTTATTTTTAGGTGCGTTCAGTGGCTGCCTGTCCCCAGGCAGTAAGGCCATAGGAGATATATGGAAAAATAACAGATCTATATATATATATTACGCGAAGGGAGTGAAATGCCTTAATCTAGATATGCCTTAGTCTAGGATTAAGATTTTCCAAATCTAGCTTCTAGACGCCTCATTATTATCATCAACTTTTTTACCCAACCATATTCCAGGACAAATCCAGGACGCTCCTGTTAGTTGGAGAGCCGGTGGGGCTCTTGGGTACTATATCTCTGGGCCTTTGTTGGAGCACTCATTATTGTGACCTGGTGTGGCTGTCAATCAGAAAATGGGGCTACTATGCAAACTCGATTTACATCGGTAATTGATAACCTGGGAATTATGCAAATATAATTATAAAAGAAGTTACACGTGCTCCACCCCATCACTCTACTCAAGGCCGCAAAACTGGAGAGCTTGGCAACCCGGCCACCCTTTCTCCCAGTCAGTAAGTCGGGCTTGATCCTCTCAGCTCCTATATTCGCCTGGTCTTAGGCTTGTCCCAGGCCAGAGCGATTCTCCGAACCTTATTATCATGTCATTAATAACAATACCCAGAATAGAATATTACACTTTGCTTGTCCTAGACGACTAAAGATTCCCCATTTGGCTTCAATTTGTGTAGATTTTTGGAGTGCGCTTTTCAATAAGTAGTCTCGGAAAGAGCTCTTGAGCACCAGTGATCGTATAATAACTGTAGCATTTATGCATAGGTTACGTTTTAGGCGAGACAGTTTTCTTTTTCTTGTTAACTTTTTCAGAATCATACATTGATGAACACGAAATCATTTATGTTTAAGTTTAGAAAATAAAGACACTTTCATTAATGAAGAAAGGAAGTAAATTTCTTCAGAAACTGTGGTACTGTGTAGGTGCGGGTATTACAGGATAATCTGGTATTACCACCCGAGTTGATAATGTGAATTGGCCACCGTAAAAAGATTTCTCGTGAGTCGATCGAGACCCGTTTGGCCACGCAAGTACACAATTAAGTACACAAGTGTGTTCATTTGTTTCTTCATTCGCATTAGTACACGTCCAAACAGGTCACAACGCACGAGAATGTTGGACGCACGTTGGAATGTACTGGACTGTTCTGCGGGGCCAAAAGGTCATGGATGTGCAGGCATACGCCCACTTCTTTGGCCTTTTTGCTGATTTTTGTGACTTTTACAGTCATCAACATCTGGCGAAAGTCATCGCTCTTTGTAGCATTGGTTGATTGAATACATGTTCACACCTGTTCTTAATTGTTCGCCTCATTTCACTACAAGGAACGATTCATTAACATAATTATAACGAACGGGTAATATGAATTCGCTCTATTAAACATTGCTGAGAGTAGATCATTGATAATTTTCTGAGTGGTTTAAATAAATGGAGGAACATGCCTAGGTAATTTATTATTGCATGTGAAGCGTGACTTGACTCCTAAAATCTCCGTTTCCCTGTTGAGGTCTTTTAATTAAAGCGCCCAAAAGAAGACAATTAATTTGTAAGTCTCAAGACTCGCCTTTTTTTAAAAATAAATTTTCGCTAATTACTATACTGATCCGTACTTCGAAAGTTACGGGAGCAAGAAGAAAATAGGTCGGATAATTAACAATATTGTAGAAAACTAGTACATAAGGTAAAAAAGAATGCATAATTAGTATAATATGGATCATAACAAATGATATAATTTAGATCGCATTGGCTGGGAGACTGACAGAAACCAGAAGTCTTTTACAAGGAGCTCCCCAGAGTGCCGAAACTAAAAATTGCAAATTACTGTTTGAGCTATACAGGAAAATTCATAACTGTAGAGGGAATTCCCTAGTCAGGTAATGGAGTTTCCTTGAATCGCATAATTGAAGGAAAAAAAAGAATACAGCAATTACATTGTTTGTTTTTATCCCGAACGCGAAACAAGTGATGCGAAACAATATCACTTAGCGTCGTTTTCAACCCGCGCTAAATACCTCGCTTCGTTAACCGGTCAAAATGCGAGATTTTCTTCAATTATGCGATTCTATTAAAGATGAGGAAATAAATAAACATCGAAAGAAGTATTGATAGCTTCGTTTAACTCGAAAGCTGTATCAACGAAGTTTTGAATTGTATTAAACTTGTTCTGTCGTACGAAAAGTCCGAGGTGTTTTCGTCTTTCCGAACAATTCTTTTGTTGTCGAGAGAATACCGCTGAAAAAATACTTTTGTTTCAATTATAATAATAATAATAATAATAACAATAAATAGAATAGCCTCCATTTTGCATGAAAATATGCTCGTTTACTTGCCCTTGGCATTATCTATCACGAGATACCAACAGTTTTTCAAGAGCGAAGCTCGAGGAAAGCTGTTCGCATCTCGGAGCAGACAATGTCCAAGGCCAAATAGTTGTGTATATTGATGTGCCAAATGGAGGCTATAGTTCAAATCTTGGGTTATTTCATATGAGGTGTTCGCTGGCCTCATCCAAACTGTCATATTCGGAGACATCACCATTGTGGAAAACAAGAATCTTGTCACAGTCCTGGATAGTGTGCAGACGATGTGCTATAATGATGACTGTGGAATTCTTCAGCATCTTGCGTACTACCTGCCAGATGGTTTGTTCTGTATCTGGATCCACGTTCGCAGTAGGCTCGTCCAAGATGACGATCTGATTTTCTTGCAGCAGCACACGGGCCAAACAAATCAGTTGCCGTTCTCCGACACTAACATTTGACCCTTGTTCTAACAATTCATAATTCAGCTGCCCATCGAGTTTCTCCACAAAGTCTCTCAGCTGGACATCCTCTAACACACGCCACAAATCAGCATCTTCGAATCGCTCTTCGAAATCAAGATTTTTGCGTAAAGAGCCACCAAAGATGACGGGGTTTTGGCCAAGGACAGAGATGAATCTTCGAGCTGCTTGAATGTTGAGATCTTTCAATTCAATGCCATCAACGATCATTTGTCCGTCTGGGTCAGGCATGCGCATAAGACCTGCTACAATTGATGATTTTCCAGCTCCTGTACGACCCGCTACACCGATCTTTGCACCTCCTTTGATGGACACATTGATGCCCTTCAGCACTTGAGGACCTCCAGGATAGTAAGTCAGTGAAAAGTCTTGGAGGGTGATCTTTCCTTCGTTGGGCCACTGCCCCGGTGGAAGTTGTTGCTGTTTGTACCCAGGTTCAGGATCTAGCTCGGTATATGCCATCACTTGTTCGACTGACGCCATAAAAGTCTCGACATCTGCTAATTCTCTGACGGTAATTTGAGCTAAGACAACAGCCTGGATGACATAAGCTAGTGATAGACCTGCAAAAGCTAAGAGGCCAAAATGAAAGGACGTGTGAATCTCCTCCGAAAAATAAACTCTTCTATTTTGGAGTTGATTCTTAAACTAGCACATTTTTGTCCTCAGGAAGTGACTAGCTTTTTCTCCTTAAAGCTTTCAGTTTGTGGTGTTATACTTGGCATAAGAGCGTGAAATAACTAAATTGCTTTGAGATTTATAGCTAAGAATCTTATTCTGCAGAATATTTATAAAATGGAGGGGAAATCGGGCCAAAAAGAAGCTACGTTAGTTAACAGCCCAGGGGCCCGTTTCTCGAAAGTCCCGGTAACTTTACGGGCCCGAAGCCATGTTTTAAAATCATAATTTAAAGGATAGGAGAGCAGGGTCTGGCTCCCAAACCAGTCCATTTTGTTTCTTTAGCTCGTAGTTTTATTGTATCATTTTCAAAACTTTTGAAATCCCCATCTTCAATGAAAAC